AGGGATATTTGTCCACAGGCTGTCCTCATTTATATGACTTCCATAAATCACTGATATGAGAACACGTGTTGGCAAATGTGCATCTTGTAGTCCATCTTCTGCCCATTGTAGTTTCAATCCATCTGTCCTTAACAATGTGACACCCAGCATTACATTTTTAAGGACAATAGTGTAAGGTCATTACAATTGACAACACAAGGCTCTTGTCTTTACCCAAGTTCTTAGCAATTCTCCTAGCCACTTTTCCTTTCCTTGAAAAGAGTTACAGTCGAAATGTGGAGATTACTCTTGTTGTTTCAGGACAAACTGCCACAATTGCGATACCCTCTGAGGGTCAAGGGTAAAGCAGCTGTAATCTAATCATCTTTTTGATGTTTTCCAAAAAAACAAAATTTTGACTTTTATCTCAAAATAGAATTACAAGTCTGAAAATAGTCTGAAATAATATTTTTTTCTTAATATGACCCTAACACTCCTTCGTAAAATGCTGCCCTGCTTTTTTTTGTTAAATGTGAAACAGTGAATCTCAGGAAGCCAACATCTATCAGGTTAATATTTGACCAAATGACGAATGCTTACACTGGCAACATTAAAGCAAAGTGTTTCTGTCTTTAAGCATTTTTATCCAATAAAAGGTAGAAATAATGGAATTCTTTATCGTTACTGGAGTTATAGCAGAAACTGTTTTTATTGAAGGTTAAACTAAACTGTGGATGAATGCATCTGGACTCTTTGCTATCTGGGTCCATCAGTAAACTGTGTCTGATCAGTCTCTCTGCATTTCATCTTCACTTTCTCTCTCTTGCATTTTGACCTTTCAGGTTTCAGCTGAATCATTAGATCTAAAATCAAACGTAGAATTAGGATTCAAATTCATCTAATGAAAGTTCAAGCTGGCTAAATGATGAGTATGGATATTAAATTAAAATGATACATTTTGGATCTAACTCAGGATGAACTTACTCAGAGTTAGTTGACTGAACTTACTCTGATCAGCTGTTCTGGAGCAACCCGGAGTTGCCGATCATAAAGTTGACCAACTCATATTTTATTTTTAAACTAAGGTTTGCTGGACATGCTTCCTGGAATAGGGCCCTGAATTTGGGTCCACAGATGAAATGTTCACAAACATCACCAATGAAAACCAAAACCAGTTAAGCTGGAACACCGGTTAAAATAAATGAACAGTTTAAGCGGTATGAAGTGAGCGGCTCTGCGGTCCTGTAGTGCAGCTCCGTGATGAGACCAGGTTAACTGAAAACGCAACTCAAACCACATTAAAATCAGCAGCTGTTCAAGGCCAGCTGCACTATCTCATGCAACAGGAAGCGATAGCGGAGTACTATTACCGCCTCCCTTTTTGTCGTTGATGTTGTTGACTATTAGGTCCTATGGCGGAGCTCCATGCTGAGGCCCTCGTTTAGTTCCGCAGTTATAAACTCAAACTCCCGTTAAATAGGCTGCGTAGCATTAATAATGCCTGTAGTATGATTTATGCTGCATTGTATGTTTGCAAATTTAGCGACCAAACATGCAGGCGCTACAGTTTACCCACGTTTGTTATCGACGTCCTCCTGGTGTAGCTGAGCAGCGTCCGCCTCTTTAAGCTCCGCCATTACGAACTACAGCAGCACACACAGGAAATGTTCTATTCTACGTTCTTTACGTAGGGCGCGTTGTTTTAAACGCAATTTGACATTTTACGGAAGCGCATCGCATTCACGACAGAAGCGTGATTAATACACATTTTATCATCTAAAATTAGTTACTGTTGCAAATAAAATAATACCACACTCAGAATACCTGGCAACGTGCTGAGGATAACCAGATACCTTCAGTGTCAAATTATGCAAGTAGCCTATAGAAAGTGAAGAAGAACTCTTACTGGTTCATTTCAATGATGTTGACAAAAAGAATTACAAGATCAGAACATTTGTAATTATGACATACCTAATTATAAGATAATGTCTCCAAACAGGTTTTCCGTTTTTGTTGCAATATTTTGTCATGGAATTTTATTATTAAACTGACTGTTAAAAAATGAAATGATTAATGTAATGGCTAAAGGAATGAACCACCCATCCCTATGGCAAACCAGTTTTGAGACAATTCCTAATTTTCCTAAGCAAACATGTGATAAGCATGTTTGCACAATGACTGCAATGACTTATACATTGCTTTTGCATTAGGGTCACTACTGAGAACAGGAAGGCTGCGCAGAGCGTAATTAACACTACCCAAAAAATTACTGGCTGCGCTCTGCCACCCCTGCAGGCCATCGCCAGCTCCTCCTGTCTTGCATCCCACCACCTGTTTGACCTGCTACACACTGGCTGACTCCTCAGGTCAATTCAATTCAATTCAATCTTTATTGGCAGACTTCATGTCCATAAAAACAAGACAAAAAAAAACACACACACACACACACACACACAACACTCCCCCCCCCCCCAACACAAGGTATAAACCATTAAATATATATATGTATATAAATAAGTATCTAAAACATACTTAGTGTGTCACAATCAGGTCCCACACTTCCACAAACAGCTTCTTCCCCTATTCAGACTGTTATTGTGGATTAAAGTTTTGGCCTGTCTTAGCAATGCAAAGACCCAAGCATATAAGTATATATAATATATAAGTAAGCATATCAGTATCAAGGAGAAGGCGGCACTCATACCGCTTAGTAATATCATCATCCTTCCGGCAGAGAAGGGTAGGTGCACAGTTTTGCTAAACCAGGACAGACTATCATGAGAAAACTTTGTCACTGTCATTTACTGACAAAAATACATTGCATCTGGAAAGCATTTACAGCACTGCACTTGTTGCACATTTTCTCATGTTACAGCCTTATTGCAAAATAGAGTCATTTTGTTTTTCACCTCAAAGATTCTGTACACAATGCTCCATAATTGCAAAGTGGAAAAAAATTCGCTTTAAATTCTTGTAAATTTATTGAAAACAAAAATATAATATTTACAGTATTCACAGCCTTTAACATTACACTAAAAAACGAGCTTTGATACATCCTGTTTCCAGTAATCATCTATCAGATGTTTCTACAGTTTGGTTGGAGTCCATCTGTGGTAAATTCTCTTGACTGGACATGATTTGAAAAAGCACAATCCTGTCTATTTACCTGATGGTAGTCGAAATGGTGATGTGGCCAGTGTTGGCATAGCAGGTGCACAAGCTGCACAACAAGAAATATTAGTTTCAGAGGCAGTCTAAAACATCCAATTATCCGTTACAACTACTCCTGTGTAGGTGTGGGATTCGTTGTGTGTTACAGTGAGTTCGATGTAACCAGGTATTTTGCTCAGCTATTTTTACAGCAGTAGGTGTGGACAGCAGTGTCTGATATTATACCTCCTACCTGGGTTGTTGACCATGTTTTTCTTTTATGACCTTGACAAACACCCAGTGTCCAGGCTTCACCAGCTCTTCTCCTCTGTGCTCCGGTAGCTTCTACAGTCATTATTATAGTCAAGGCCGGACAGGCTGGACTCAAACGCAGGCCTCCGGGGGAATCGAGGGGAAGTCCAGGGGTACACTCCTCTTCACACAGTCAAAGTTTCCCCAACCCCTAACTACTAACCGCTTCTAGAAACTACAATTCATATTTACTTGTGTTTCAATATGTTACAAACATGCAAAAAAAAATGTGGAAATCAGGGAGGGGTAAAACACTTTCAGTTCCCTCAGCCCTCATCTCATTTACAAATTTCAAACTTCCCTCATTTGCCTATCAGTTAATAATAGGGCTGGGCCATATTATACCGTTCACGGTAATACCGGTATAATGTTAGGCAACGATAGGAAAA